CAGGCCCCAGCTATCGACCAGCCTGAGCCGTCTCCTCGGTACCAAGCCCCAGCTCGATACCAGGCCCCAGCTATCGACCAGCCTGAGCCGTCTCCTCGGTACCAGCCGTCTCCTCGGTACCAGCCCCCAGCTATCGACCAGCCTGAGCCGTCTCCTCGGTACCAGGCCCCAGCTCGATACCAGGCCCCAGCTATCGACCAGCCGTCTCCTCGAGCCCCAGCTATCGACCAGCCTGAGCCGTCTCCTCGGTACCAGCCGTCCCCTCGATACCAGGCCCCAGCTCGATACCAGGCCCCAGCTATCGACCAGCCTGAGCCGTCTCCTCGGTACCAGCCGTCTCCTCGGTACCAGGCCCCAGCTATCGACCAGCCTGAGCCGTCTCCTCGGTACCAAGCCCCAGCTCGATACCAGGCCCCAGCTATCGACCAGCCTGAGCCGTCTCCTCGGTACCAGGCCCCAGCTATCGACCAGCCTGAGCCGTCTCCTCGGTACCAGCCGTCTCCTCGGTACCAGCCGTCTCCTCGGTACCAGCCGTCTCCTCGGTACCAGGCCCCAGCTATCGACCAGCCTGAGCCGTCTCCTCGGTACCAAGCCCCAGCTCGATACCAGGCCCCAGCTCGATACCAGGCCCCAGCTATCGACCAGCCTGAGCCGTCTCCTCGGTACATTCCAAGGCATGACACGAGCATCGAACAGTCAACTCCAAACCGTCCTCCCCTCCCCCCAAGTTTTCAGAGCCTCAGCTCAAGCTATCTTCAGTCCCCGAGAACCCCAAGGCTCTCTGACTCTCCGTACTCCATCAATCTGCAGAAGCTGGGAACACGAGCTGAGCCCGCGACTTCGTGGAATGAGCTACGGGTGCCGCATGCTTGGGGAGGCAACATGGGCAGCCAGAAGGAGGGTGAGAGAGGACAGGTCTTGTCGGATACTCACACTCCTCGTCCGACGAGGGTATCATTAGGGATGGTACTTTGATCTTGTTAAGTTTGTATCTTTCATGCAAAATCGCACTGCCGAAGATTAAAGATTAAACAAAAACACACAAGTATCCACACTTATCTATGACACATTCTACATGGAATTGTATCCAATGCTGTCCAGATCGAAGGCTTCGTCCTTGTCCGACGACAGGTCTTTGAACATGGCGAAATAGGAGTTGCCATGAACTTCCCGCCCGGACGCGAACAGCGTCCCCTTCACTGGGTTCTTCAGCATCTCATCGAGCGACACCGGCGTGCTCTCGTCGTAACCGTCCCCGAAGAAGCACTCCTTCACTGACTTCCCGAGCGCCTTGCAGCTCTGCAGACTCGCGTACATGTCCACAGGCTGCGCCGAGTCCCTGTAGTAAACTTCAAAGGTTTTTCCGTCCGCGTCCTTGGACAAGGCGGCAGCCGTCAGGATGTCAGCAAGGTCGAGCCGGGAGATCATCCCGCTCTTGGTCACTCCCTGATTGAACTCCACCTCCTTCACACCTCTCGCCTCCCCGAGAGTCAGCATCCCGGGCCTCACGATGGTGTACGACAGCGAGGGATCCTTGGCTGCTGCATACAGCTCTCGCACAGCGTCTTCGCCGGCCTGTTTCTTGTAGCAAGCATCGCACGAGGCCGCACCCCTGTCAAGCTGATCTGGCACGTCGTACTCCTGCTTCTTCCGGCACTTGGCACAGACAGAGCTGACGATCACAAGCCGTGGTATCTTGTTGGCGATGCAAGCCTTGGCTACGTTTTCGAGCCCGATGTCTTCCACGTGATCACTCGGAGGTGCAACTTTTGCTGCAGCGAAGGTCTGCAGAGGAGCAGAGGAGGAGGAGGAGGAAGCCACTTTGGTCCCAGGTGTGACCGTTGCGGTAACCTTGGGCCTTGAAGCAGCCGTGAAGATGACGGCCTTGGCCCCTTGGATAGCGCTGGGGATGCTGCTGGCCTTGTTGACGTCGACGATCGCAGATCGCACAAGATTCCTCTCCCTCTCGTCATCCAGCACGATGGTGTCTGGCCCTCGTTCTGCATTCAACACAATCTTCTGTGGCCTCCTGGTACAAGCAATGACCTTCTGCCCTTTCTTTATCAGACTCCGCACGGTATCGCCTCCAGTGTATCCCCCGGCGCCGATAACTGCTACAGCATCTTCAAAATCTGCGTTGGGCTCGGCTCCTGAGAATGAAGGGGTTGTGAGAGCAGCGAGTCCGAAGCCTGTCAAAACCAACATCTCCTTCCTATCCAACGAAACTCGTCCTCCTTCGAACCGCATTGACACCAACGTTTCTTTCTTCTTCCTAGATAATGTCGGGAAGGATCGGAGAGATGGCAGAGCGCGAACAATACCTCCCTGGTGGAAAGCATGCACAGAGTTCGCAATCGCGGCAAGGCAGAGGAAAGATAAGATATTGGACCAGCTCATTTTGACGAAGATCATTTCCAGTAGCCGCAGCCTCACTGTTGTCTTGAGTTTGTACAAGGCTTCACAAACAGTTCTTCTTCTGTCTCTTCTTCTGTCTCTTCTTCTTTCTCTTCTTCTTTCTCTCCTTCTTCTGTTGCTCTCTATCTCCCTGCCTGCCTTTTAAGCCTCTCCGACCCCGCTTTATTAAGTCCCTTCGCCCACCCCTACCCCTGTACTGAAGACATCTTTATTTTAATACCCCTTCTTTTGACTATCTGAAATAGTCAGTTCCTTGGGTCAGCCATCACCCCCTACCTCTAAAGAGCACTCGCAGGTCTGCTCCCTCCCACCCCAATCATGAAACGATTACCCCTCGCTTACCTCACACTAACCCCTACCCTATACCTCATATCACCCCCTTGTTCTACCCCACCCCGGCACTCCTGCAACAATTTCTGACCTTTGAGTTTTGGGGAGGGACAACACTCCAGGGCGGCACATAAAGGGTAGGGTATGTTTTTCTGTAGGTAGGGTCATGCAAGGGTTCCTTTTCACCGGTTCCAGACATTGAAAATTGTATGGTACTCAGGGTAGTTCAAAATTCTATGGGGGTAGGGGTATCGACAGGCTAGGAACAGGTGGGACTCGGCTGCAACAAGGGCCGCAATCTGAAGATGTGGAGATACAAGCAGGGACTTGAGGGCAGGGAATCACTTTGAGCAGGATACCCCATGTATCATTGAAGAAAAAGTGGGTAGGGGTGATGACCCCACCCTACTTTTGACTTTAATGCTTTTTAAGTGCACCAAGCTACTTTTAATACTTATAACAGTGGGTTATGGACTGAATTTCTGGTACAATATTTAGTACCAGTGTAATGGAAACTTTTAATAACAGTTTTTACAAAAGCTTCATCTGGGGTTCCTACGACTATCTTTGTACCACGGGTCCCTTTTGTACCTGAGGTCCATTTATATCTTTGTAGACCAGTTATAAAACCATTGCGCCTCCCCGTACAAGCACGCAGACCTTCACCCTCCCGCGCGCCCTCCACAAGCTCCTCGCATCTCGTCCTCCTGCTGCCTCCCCATCGTATCTCCTCCCCCGCCATTTGCTCTTCATCATTTCAATCCTTTCTGTCTCCTTCCATCCTCACTCCTTCCCTTTGCTGCTGATTCTTTCCACGAATTTTCACTTTTGCCTTTTATTCCCGCTGTCCTTTCTCACCTTTTTCAATCTTCCCCTCTCACCAAACAATTATCTTATAGGAAAAGTCTTCAATGTTTGTACAATTTTCACTCTCTTGCCCATCTCTGTAACTTGATTTGTTTGTAACAAGTTTCTGCAGACTCGATGAAGAACTTTTCTGCGACATACCTGTTGAGTTGTGCGTTGCTCTTCTTGGATTTGTCTTTAGCTTCGTCAAAAAAATCCAATCCTCTCTGCTTTGCATCGTTGAGCAGTCTGCCATGCCTCCACAGGCAAGACAGGGGTGTCCTCCAAACAAGGATGCATCTGCAAGGGCAACAAGGTGCTATAGCACGAAGGCGCGCGGTCCTGTTAACTGCAGCCTTTGCCATGCCGACTCTGTTTCTTCGTCCAGCCTCTGCTCTCACAGAGGCCGAAGAGTTTGAGAAGCTGCAGAGGAGAGCAGCAGAGCTGAGGGAGATCTTTGAGAGGTGAGCTACCTTTCATCCTCAGTGACGCTGATGCATCTTCTCAGTCAGAAGGCAGCAAACTCAAACTTGCCGACTTTGCAGGACAGTGTAGCTAGAGACAAAGTTGCCAAGGGCCAAGTCAGCGGCAGTAAGCCCGAGGAGTCGAAGCTGCTGCCCTCGCCGAGCCTGACATCGGTGGACGTTGCAAAGCTGCTCATCGCTGCCATGCAGAAGAATGACAAGCCGGCGCCAGACAGCGGGTTAAAGGCAGTGTTGAGGTTCTCATCGGAGAAGAATCCAGTGAAGTCGATGCCAGAAGATCGCTTCTTCAACATGATGAAGAACTCCAAGTACAGGTCTCGCCTTTTCCAGACTTCTTGATTCTGATCTTACCTACCTTGGCAGCATCCTGCTAGCCGACGAGTACAGCTTCAGTGTTGCGAAGGCGGACGAGGGAGTTTCAAAGGATGACGGAGAGCCTTTTCAAGTTCTGGATGTGAAGATAAAAGCTCCTTACAAGAAGATGCTGATGGTGAGCGCCATGGTTTCATTGCGAGGTTTCGCTCGAGTGAACTTTACATGGCAGAATGGCATGCAGTTCGAAGACTTTGAGAGCCTTGAGAATGACAAAGAGAATGTTCAAGTTTCGATGAAATGGCAATTCAGCAAGAGCAAAGAGAGCAATTGCTGGTTGAGCGATACTCTCTATGTGGTCAGCTCTTCAAAGAATGATGCCTGGAGGGCGCTTGTGTAACTTTACTGTACATGTTTCAATCGATTACAGCGCTTATATCTACTTTGAGTAAAGAGCGAAATATCGTAAGGAGGATTGGATAGCAATCAGATCGTAAGAAGGAGAGATGGTAGAGATATTCTCCGATAGCTCTTCATCTTTGCTGTGTTTTATTCAAACATTATCCAAGTCATACCAGACTCGATTCTGCACGTGTCAAGCTCATGGTTGTTTTGCAAGCTGCTGTAAGCCAGAGTCCATGAACGACTCAAAACATTGACTTATCTTCATTCTTCTTTCCCTTCAGTACATTCTTCATTCCCTTCCAGCAAGGCATCGGAAGGCTCATCCCCGATACCTACCGTCTCTTATCATCAACATTTTTGGGTGAACTCTAAATATCAAGTTATCCAGATTGACAACTTCATTGAGACTGTGAGAGCCAAAAGCGTCCAAGTCCTGCAGACTTCATCTGACTGCAGCTCGCCGACTTCACTCTCCTTGATAGCTGACTCTGAGAGCAGTCCAGCCATCCCTGCGACTCATCTGAAACTTGTACCGCTATCATATGATGCCGATCACTTCAGACCATACGTGTTAGTCCACAGCGTCCTCAACTTCATCCAGCAGCATGGTTTGCTCAACAATCCTCTCGATCATCTCGATGTGGTCTTCATCGGGTATTTCAAATGCTTCTTCAAACTTGTGTACCTCCCTTATCACCTTCAAAATCACAATCTTACGCTTGTCACATGTATGGTAATGCGCGTACCGGATAAACTTTCGTCTTCCTCAGGAATTCTCTTCCATCCTTGGACCTGCAGAAGAGGAGAAGACCCTCATAGATCATCCTCCGCAGCTCCTTGTCATCCGAGATTTTCCCTCCGATCCTGCACTTGGACGCCAGCCCGGCATACATGCCGTTCATATCGTCGTCCTCGAAGCTAGATGACTCTCCCACCAGAGGCAGTACCAACAGAGCGGCGACTTCTGCATGCTCTGCTATTCCTCTGTGCAGCTCCGTGAAGAAGGCACAGTTCTTCACCGTGCCTGCAGCCCCGAGCTGTCTCTCCTTGTTGTCTTCGGCCAGACCCTTGGCCACGATCCCAAGCTTGAAGCCCTCGTTCTCGTCGCAGAGCAGGTTAGCGCCCATGACCTCCTGCGAGATGTTCTCGAAGAAGAGAGCGAGGAACGACAAGTCGTTGTCCTTCTGCTTCCTTGACTCCTCAAAGTGATGCAGGAGCTGCAGTATCTCTTTCTTCCTCTCCTCGCTCGACCCGTCCGACACATAGCCCAGCATCCTCTTCCTGCCTTCAAACACTCTGCTGATGTTGACGAGGAGTTTTGGAGCTCCATCAGGCAGACGAGTCCCGACCTCAAGAGCACTCACAATCTTCTTCATGGTCTTCTCCCCTGCCCCAGCCTTCGCCACGCGGACAGCTGCCTCCTCCTCCTCACAGAGGTTCACCAATGACGCCAAGATCGCTGTGAGAGCTGCATCGTGATCGTCGTTGATCCTGTTCACTATCTTCTCGATAGCATCAGCCTTACAGTCGATCAGAGCCTGCCTGCCAGACCTCGATGCGGACAGCCCTGCCAACACAGAAGAAGCACCGATCCGCACGAGTCTTGACTTGTGGTCGATGAACAGCAGCAGGTCATCAAGAGCCATGGTCTCTAGCTTGCTAAGTATGACGGCTTCATCCTCCTCCACCCCTTCTCCTCGCACGTCAGGAGCAGCCGCTGCCAGCCCCACGCCCTCCGGCATGCCCGGCATTCCCTCACGTGAAGATCTGATTTGTGTCTGGCTGTTGTACCCGGAGTTGCCGGGAATGCAATGCTGAGGCTCTATCCGGGGTCCAGAAGGGGCCCAATTACCGTAGTACGACTACCGTCGCGCGGCCCGGCATTTCGGGGCCTCACCGGGCCGACTCATAGCACAATCATCTGAAGGGGCTTCAGTCGAGATTGGTTTATTCATCTAGAAGGACTTTGTACGGGTTTAGGATGCCGTTGGGATCGAAGACTCCTTTGATCTGCCTCATGAGCGCAATCAGCTCTGGAGGCTTGGACAAGTACAGCTTTGAGATCTTCATCTGCCCTATCCCGTGCTCGGCGCTGATACTTCCTCTCTTTTCTGCTGTCCATTCGTACACAAAGGGTTCTAAGATGCTCTCAACCGCCTGCAGCGTAACGGTCATGGTCTTCATCCGACGACAGAGGGACAAGTGCGTTGTTCACCTCCTTGTCAGCTGTGGGGCATGTGACGTTCAGGTGTAGGTTCCCATCTCCCAGATGTCCATACCTTCCTCCACATCAGTACAGATGAACATGTGTCAGGAATGATAAGTTCACCCGAAGACACCTGCTTGAGGGTAGCGCTCTTTCAACCTCTCCCTCACGATCTCGACCTGTTTGACAAGTTTCTCAAGGGAGCTTTCGTGCTATGCAGCGCAGCATGTCAGATTGTACCAGGTTGTACATCTCGGAGGTAGGAACCGACAGGTCATACTTAAACACCTCTTCTTCTTTCAAGAGTGCCATGGGAATGTTTTCTCTCATCCCCCACAGCTTTCGCATTTGGGTCCCTCCCTCCGCAACGGTGCCCCCCTCCACGACCTGTTTCTCCATGCAATAATTGAGAAAGTTGTACAGCTTGTCCTGTCTCGCACAAGCAAGTCAGAGGCTGAAACGAAGAGACGAGGGGAAGAATCACCGAATCGTGACTGTCCTCACTGCCTGTCGTCTCAACGAGCACCCAGAAAGGAGAGCTTGTTTCCAGTACGTGAGACATCCCAGGGAGGTTTCGAACAACAAGATCGCTACATTGCTGATCGAAAAATTCGATCGCGCTTACGATCTCTGCGAGTTTAAATTTCGCTGCGGCTACTGCTTCCAACACTTGCTGAAAATTGTTGCATCCCAGCATTGCTAAATGAACGCTCTCTAATTTCCTTGGCACTGAAATCGCAACTTTAGTAATCACCCCCAGTGTTCCCTCAGAACCAATGAACAACTGCTTGATGTCGTAGCCGGTGTTGTCCTTTCTCAAAGTCTTTAGGGAATCCAAAACTGTTCCGTCCGCCATGACGGCCTCGATCCCCAGCACTGAAGCTCGCAAAGAGCCGAATCGAATGAGGCGGAGCCCTCCCGCGTTGGTCGACACGTTGCCGCCGAGTTGACAGGATCCACGAGAACCAAGATCTAGAGGCACAACGAAACCCTGGTAAATCCTGTCAACTGTCCTCAAAACACTGAGGCAGCTCATTCATTACATGTTTTGCGAGATGCTCTTCGAGATTTTGGAGGATGCAGCCTGCTTCACACTCTACGACCCCACTGTACTCATCCAAAGAAAGAACTTTGTTCATCGATGACAAAGAAAGAACAACTTCATCAAATACAGGAACGCTTCCCCCGACTAATCCTGTGTTCCCCCCCTTGAAACACAACAAAGTCACGACCATTGTTGAATCCACTGCAGAACACCTGGGGCACAACAGCCAACTTCCTTGCGTTGCAATGTTTCAAAATACTTGACACCTCCTCTGTCGACTTGGGCTTGAGGACAACCTGACCTCACACAAGAACAGATTATGCTCTCTTGCAATGATAGCAATCGTTTCTGCGCACCTTGCTGTTTCCACGATATTGCTTCATCCAGTCATTGTTGTGAAACTCCAGTGAATCCTGTTCATGATTGGTCAGTGGACTGAACAAAGAAATGGCAGGACATCACGTCATTGGTGATGACTGATTTTTCTCCGAGAAGCTTCCTAAATGTGCTGATATCGCTCTCCTGTTGGGAGGCTTCAGGTTACATTCGAGACCGTCTTTCCTCCAAGCATTCACCTCAATCTTTGCAAATTGTTTCCTTGCAATACCACCAGAGTGCCTGCAAAATTTAACAATGAGTCATCAAGAATGCAGGCACGGCAGTGCACAATCACATTCGGACTCCTCTGAGCATGTTCGTAAACCCTCGGAAGATTTCTCTTCTGTCGCATGATCACCAAGTGAAAACCAATCAAAAGGAAGATATTCACCTTGCCATCATGTTTTCGAGGACAATGAGGACGATGAAGCTTTTCTTCCAGCTGCTTGTTACAACAATGAATTCAGTGAGATCATAACACTGACAATCATAAGAAAGTTGACATGAGAACAGAGACATAAGGCAAGGATATGAACAAGTCACATCATCCATTCTATCAGGTATCGGCATCTACATCAGCTATCGGCATCTACATTACAGATCGTCGAGTCAGATCTCACAACGTCTGCTGCTGCCGAACAGATATCAACAGTGTGCCATAAGCCGCAACAGGCCACTGAACTAATCCCAAAGGAAACTAAACCGGCGTCACTTTTGTGGACGGTGCTCAGAACTCCGAGTGACTCAGTCACAGGTCGGCCTGAGTCCCGGGCCCGGACCGGGCCCGAAGCTAGACCGTGAACAAGTTGTCACGGCTGGGCCGCTTCGACGCCCCGTACGGGCGGCGGGCCTCGGCAGTCACTCAGTAAAAGATCCGGTGCTGACCGATCACATCCGATTGCCATCATTGGCCGCAAACTGCCTTGAATTTTTTTTCAGAAGCATGTTGTGTATTACTATCGCGACGTTTCTACAAAGTGATTCAACTTTCATTTGCGCGAGAAGAAATTCCCCACAGTGTCTTTGATCCATCCCATCCCCCACCCTCCTCCTGCAGGGCGTTGAGGTGGTTTCTGTTCCAGCTCATCCAAGTACCGCTGGATCTCTGCCTTTGCTTCCTTTGCCTTGCTCTCCCGGTCGCTCGCCGCCTTAGCTCCACTGTCCTTCGCTCCTGATGACAAGTTTGACCTGTCAGCTGCTGCTGCTGCTGCTCCCTGACACTGCGAACCTCCAGCCCCTCCGTCCTCCCCGTCATCTAGTCCTCGCGCTAGAGTGCTGGACCAGATCTTCTTCTGCTTCTCAGTAGCTTCTCTCTCCTTCTCTCGCAGGAAGTTCAGTTCCCTCCTGACATCCTTGTTGGAGGGTTCGAGCTTGAGCGCCTCCGACATGTCGTCCTTGGCCTTGTCAAGATCCCCCATCTCCGCCTTCTTCCTCCACGCCAGTGACCTCGCCAGACCTCTGCGGTACAACGCTTTCACTTTGTCAGCCTGGCACAAGGTCAGCTTGCTCGTCGGCTGTTTCTCCTTTCACCTCGTTCAGTCCGGCCTGCTGGGTTTTGAAGCTGCACGCGACTGTTAAAGAAAGGACTGAACATCAGAAACTTACAGGTTCAGCACTTCCGTGCAGTTCCTGCACCACTCCAAGTCAGATGTGTGGGAAATGACGTCGGAGCCAAATGTGAAAAGATCAGAGCATGTTGTCATGTTGGGACGAATCATCGAGCCCTTTCGTTTCATCACGTTCTTTGTCTAGTTGCATTTTGAAGTTTCCCGTAGGCCACACGGAGCAAATGATCATGCTCAGCTGCTCTCTCAGACAAGGACGAGAGGGCGGAGAGGTACTCACTCGATCGCTTCCTTGAATCTTTGATCGACATTGGGAAGAGGGTTCTTTATCGGTTCATACGAATCCTGCGGAGCGTCAGATGCAAACTCCACAAGATTTCACAACCTTGAGCAGACAGAGGGCATAGTTCAAACGAAGAGGAACAACAATCTTGACGACTTCGACGCGGTGGGTGTCTTGCAGCTCGAAGTTGAACTAGATACGTGACACAGTTAGGGCTGCAGTAGGGCGGATAAACAACAAACTTGCGACTCATCGAACACGCTGTAGTACAAGCCTTTCCGGTAGAGCACTGCTGCTTCAGAGAACTGACCTGAGCAGAATAAATCGTCAGCAGGCAGAGAATCATAACAGAGTCAGATCAGCAAGATGCCTTCTTTGAACAGCTCGTTGCCCTGCTGCTTGAGTTGCTCTCCTTCAAAGCGTAAAATGTAAACAACAGACACCACAGCACACTTGCCCACCTTCTTTGATCCTGTACTCAAAGAACATGTCTTGCTTCTTCCAGTCGTCCGGGCCCTGTGAGCGTATGAGACGGCAGCGCAACGGGACATACCATGACAATCAAAACAACACCAGCAACAGCTCCCCCTCGTCTTTGACAGGGAGGCGGTCTTCCGGATAGATCCTACATCATCGCCATGAGACAAAGAGAGCATGATCAGCAAAGGGTCACAGGTCCATGGCGAGCTGTTGGTCGGCGAAAGTTCCGCGCACGCACCTGCACTCTTCAGATCGAATCGACATGGCAAAGACTATCCTCACCCATCCATGACTATTGGTCGATTCATGGCGTCACGCTCGTACTGTTTGGGGGCAGGAGCGACTCCCTTCGATGATCCACCGATATCCTCTCTTACATTCTCCATCGCCACGTTGGCTGCAACCGCAGGGACAAGTTACTTCACTGAACTACTCTTGCCACAAACATTTGCACGGTAAAGAGCAACATCACTCGCTCTCATCCTCTTCCTCTGTCAACCCTCGTCGTCTTCCTCTTCCTCCTCGTCTCCTATCCCTCTCGTCCCTCCATCCTCCTCCTTGACCTCTCGCTCTTCTCTTCCTTCCACTGCCATGGTGGCCCCATAAAAGCAGAACCGGCTTGGTTGCTCTTTACCACATACAAGCAGGTGACAAGGATGAACTTCTGTCTTTTTGTATCATTAGTAGCTGACCCGAGGTGAGCTTGTCTTTTAGTGATCTTGTTGTGGCGAAATGGCCTGAAGATGGACGAAACCAACAGCAACTGGTTGACAGGTAGAGAGAGGAGGGGAGGGGAGGGGAGGGGAATGGAGGAGAAGCAAGATCATGCTGGATTCTTATGCTCGAGATTGAATCACTGACGTAGACGTTGATGAAGTGTTCCGTTCAAGAGGATGTTTTCATTTTTCAACTTGTGAAGGAATACTTCCGCAGGTTGCTTGCTTTATGCTGGAGGATCGATAACCGTAAACCTGGCCCAAATCATCATCAAATTATCACATCTTGATCAAGATCATGGAACAAGGTGATGCTGGATAGGAGAAAGTTGTAGAATGGGATTTTGATCTATAAGCTATTCAGGAAGTTGTGTGGCTGCTGTTGCAGCTCATTCATGTGGTGGTTCGGAGTCGTGTTGTTTGGAGCAGGCGATGTGTTGAATGTGATCGGATTAAATTACGCTGCGCAATCCTTGCTCGAAGCGTTCGGCTCCATCCAATTCGTCTCCAACTTGTGGTATAGGATAAACTTTGTAGATGATTGCTTTGCTTGGCTGACGGTATTCACAGCTTTAGCACGTTTATCTTGCATGAAAACGTCCAACGACGGCATGTCGTTTCTACTTGTCTCATCATTGCTGGAAACATCTGCATCGTGGCGTGGGGAGACCACAAGAACAAGAAGATAACTCTGAGCAGGCTGGAAGAACTAGCGGGGACTACAGCATTCATTGTGTATATTTCTATCATATACCCGATGGCGATTTGCATTTACATCCTTGAGATATATTTGCAAAGGATGAAACACAGGAATTCACACGACCGATCAAACTTGCAAGCGATATGCTTCGTCTTATCGTCAGCGATGATTGGCGCCAACTCAGTCGTTGTGCTCAAGGCTCTGGTGAATTGTTTTCCACCTTGACATCTTGACGATGATGTTTATTCTCTCTAGTCTGGTCTGTTGCATACATACATTGAAGACTTCTACGGGAAAGACGGGAAGATCCCAGGGAAAGTTGTCATCGGGGTGACGATCGTGTCGATCTTTGGAGTTTTGCACATCAGCTTTTGGCTGTACCGTTTGAACCTGGCACTCAAACGCTACTCAGCGCTGTTTGTAGTGCCACTGATGCAGGAATGCACGACCTGCTGTTGAACTTCACTCGCCCTCTGATTCTCTTACTGGCAGGCTTCCTGGATTGTTTTCACCGTCACCAGCGGTGGAATTTTTTTCGGAGAGTTCGCAGATCTCGGTGCTCGTCAGGTGACAGCTCCATCAACCCGTTGGCCTATGTTGCATATCTGTGACGTTCTGCGAAAGATTATGGGGTTTACAGTTGGAGTCGTGCTGGTGCTGTTCGGAGTTTCAGTGCTGATCCCCTCTAGGTAATTTTTAGTGTTTGGTGGCGATGATTGACCGGGATCCATTCAGTCGTCAAGAGGAGATGTCCCATTGCGATCAGTGCTCTGTCAGCGAAGAACAAGTCGGGCTGCTGCATGAAAGTGGTTTGTTCTTGTCCCTCTCCTGTGACTTGTTGAAGACGAAAGGGCAGGCAAACTTTCAAGCGGTGAGTGTCAAACAATCTTCGCATTGATCAAGAAGGAGCATGTGATGTACGAAAGATCACATGAAGAGCAGCAGGCACGAAGCTTTTTACAGCGCTTAAACCGGTCTGTACATGGCTGGGTTCCTACTCTACATGTCGATATTGAAGACTTTGAACAGATGGCTGGACCAACAGATTTGTAGATGAAGTTCACCTTCCTGACTAACCACGTGTTGTACTATATACTATTTTCGAATAGAGGGGAAAAATTGAGTTCAAATCCGTAAGCTGTCTACTTACATTGATAAAGATTTTAGCGGAAGCAGAAGTCAGCAGGATAGAGATTCAGGGGCTCTAAACAAATCACCAGGAGCCAACAATAGGGGCCGCGCACGGGTTCCTGCACTGGCTACTCGAAGTCATGCCGGTGGCAGCGGGGACGAGGAGCTGCGGCAACAAGGAAGAGAAGAAGCCAGCTAGCGGCTCAGTCGAGCCTGTAGCAGCGCACAAGTCAACAAGCAACGAGATGTGAGTTTGTTGTAGATCATTCGAATTTAATTTGACCACCCCTTAAAACATAAAGGAAAGTTGAGGTGGGGTGGTCGCTGGAATGGAACCATGGGTGCACGGAGCAGTGGAGGCGCCATGGGACGTTGACCCCAAGAGGCTCCTGCAGGCGATGGTCGAGTTAGAAGCGTCAAGTGCGTGACATGGTTGTTGTCAGGCTGTTTCTTCATTGTCAGTCTCGTCAACACAGCATGAAGTGGACAAGGCTTCTGGGGTTTCCCGGCATGCGTCCTTGGCAGGGATATCAAGGTGCTGTCGGAGTTATGTCGATCAAGCCATGATCTTGCTCAATCATCTTGCACAGTGAGGTGCCGTCAAAGCGAGCTGCAACTCCAGGAAGAGTCGTCGCTACTCCAAGTGAGAAGCTGCCTTTCTTGAATAGGTCTCTGTGATTCTTTTCTGCCATGCAGGGGCGAAGAGCGCAAATGAGGCTATCAGGAGGTAGATATGAGACGTGACGTCTCATGTTGACATTCTCTGTTTCTGCTCCGTCCAGGAATGTTTCGGTCCGAGTGCCTCCCGATCAACTACGAAGAATGTTTGTTGACCAGGTACAAGCACATGCGCGTTGATCGTGGGCTCGTTCATTCGAGCGTCTCCCAGGCTCTGTCGTATCTCGGTGTACCATATTCCAAAGGCCAAGGAAATGTTGGGAACAAGTATTCACGGCTGCTGAAGCAAATCGCCCCGGTGCGAGGAGGGGAAGCTACAGAGTCCATTTGTTGAATCCTGTCCAGGCCGCAGGAGCACATGATAGACCGAACTTGTTTCTGGACTGCTCAGGCATGTCTTGCACTGTTGCACTGGAGCTTTTTTTTTTCCTCTCTGTTGATCTGACATGTCACGACAGCTCTTGTTCGACAATGTGTGTATGATCTTCGGGTGGGTGACTGAAGAGACCAGCATGCTCTGCCTGCCGCGGTTCTCACCTTGTCCTCAGAGCTTCTTCGGGTTCGTCATCGGGGGATGGAATCAATCGTATCAGGCAACCTGGTTGCTCCTCACGTGTCAATGTGAAAGTTCGTGCAGTTCGACACCCTCCCGCTTGTGGCAACCAGTGTAGAAGAGCTGCAGATCGGGGATTTGATATTCATTTCAGGTGTACCATCTGTGCACGGTTGCAAGAAGAAACGATCTTGACTTGTTCATGCAGGAATTTACTTCGATACCAAGAGAATCCCGAAGCCGCATAACATGACGTGAGACGTTGGAATCCATCTCGGTTACCATGCGGCTCATTGCTCGATGACGCAGCCATGTCGAAATATATTTCCCATCGCAAGACAACAAAGAGCAGACGATTGGCTCGCGCTACAAACACAGCTGTGTACAGGTAAACCCTTTCCCATGCTGTATCAAGAAACAAACAGTCATGTGGTTTTGAAGGTGCATCAAAGTTACAAATTTGAGAGCAAGACTTATCACAGGTTGGTCCCACATGTTTCGTCTTGACCTCTCTGATCTACAGCAGCATGAAGTATCATTTCAGAAAGATCGACACATGGCTCGAAGGAGAATGTGAGCCCTTGTTCGTGCTCTACCATGATCCCCTGATCAACACGCATGTCGGCAGGTCGTAGTCATTGTCAGGAGCATCGATGGCAGAACGGCTGACAGCTCAATATCCTTCACCTGCTATATCATGCATAGTGTTGGGAAGTGTTCTATGTATCTTCGATCAGTAAAGAGCCAGCCATTGTAGCACGTTTGTCCCGCCCCGCAGCATTTTCGCAAGTAGCCCTGAAGTTTGTGGGTTCCCCCCTCCGGTCTACCGGCATTGTGGTTCCTCGATTGGATGGATGTCAAACCGCCCGCTGGGATGGCGGCATGGCGGCGGATAGTCGTGCTGTTGCTGCTCGTCATGTACGCGATGGAAGGACGTGGTCTTCCTGCCATCTTGTTGGGAGGGTCGATAACATGGCGGCTCGATGATAACTATGAGAACAATGGCATCATGTACTTTAAGGCTCATACCTTCTTCAACAGGGATGATTTCAGCACCTACACCTTGAACTTGTACCAGGTTGTGACAAACCCGACTGTTTCCTTTGATGTGGAGGAGATCATGGGTAGCATTAGAGTAGCCATGGTGAAGAAGACTGAAATCATCAATCAGTATTTCCCGAACAATTTCAGGGTCGTTTTCATGGATAGCAATGTGGTCGAGGGTGAATATGAGTTTCCTGTTCAAGTGCAGGACGGATCGCTATCAGTCTCTGCAATGCTGGTGTGGAAGATCAATGGTGTCTTCACCAACATAACATATTCTGCGGGGCAAGATGTCAGCGCTGGATTGATGAGCAGGTGCAAAACGACAGGGGCCACCTCCGTTCCATGCATCATGAACTGGGATTACATTGATATGCCTCCTGCAAGCGACTTCATGCTGTCCACGACTTTTGTATTGCCTCAAGGGAACTTCTCGCTTGTTCGCGACCAGCAGGTCAAGAACAGAAACTCTCCCAAGGCTCTTGTAAGAGGATGGATTTCACTCAACCCGAGCAACAACATAATTCAGGTCAAACGTGTTCGGCAGCCCCTTGCTGATCTTCTCTTCTCCTCCAGGTTCCTCTCTTTGACCTAGACGGAAATTCTCTCCATCCCTACACTTTTGGAAGGTCATGAATCTTTGCGTCCTTTCTTGTTTGTTTGCGATGTGACAAGATTCAATTCAGTACTGTTGCAAGCTCGGGACTGAAGGCGATTCGCTGCCAACGAGATGGCTCAGTGTTCACAACACTTGGCTGCGGAGTAGATAAAGTACTTTGTTTTGTGACTTCTGTTTGCCGTTGATGTAATCACTCATGTAACAGACTGCAAATTATGAGAACAAACCCGATTCCATGTACGAGGGAAATCTATATTATTTCGACTTCACCGATAAGGTATTCCTGTGAAGCTAGAAATTTCTGCGATGATCCTTTACTGCCAGGCATTGCCAGAAAATACCCGATTCGTGTTCTCTATTGCCATGTACGAACTGGTTGATGTGTAGCGCTTCCTTTGTTGAGCGAGGCTTCGCAGGTATTGCAAAGATGACTTTGAAAACATCATCACTTTCATCTTCAACGTGAACCTACAACTCCCGAACTCCCCGCAAAAAAATGCTCCAGAGTTCATCACTGTTGACAAATCCGTGAGAGCTCAAGTTTGTCTTCCGTTTAGAGAAGTGATGTATTGCAACAGGGCCAGATAACAAGAAGTCGGCCTCAGACGAATTTTGAGTGCAAGTGGAATGAGAAATGCTCGTTTGTTGTGTATGCTGCCATGTTCACAAGTACAGTGGCTTCAGGTTCCTGATTCCATCATGGTCTGTTGAGAAAGCACCTTCCTTACATTCCATCAGACTTGACTGTAATGCCAAATGCCGTGGTTGACATAGCCCAAGATGGACCGATTGGTGAGGATTTCTCTTGTTTTCATTCCCATCGTCCTTATCACGACTCCCCCTCTCCTCCTACATCCGCTCTCTCCCCTTGTAATTACCTCTGGCTCACATCCACTACAGCTGTGGTTGAGTCCTCGACGACGATCAATACCATCTCCATCAACCAGTTTGCTACGGTGAGTTCATGATAAGGAGGATAGCCTGGTTGATTTTTGCGGTCAGATTGGACCAGCGGTCTCTATAGGAGGAGGCGTCACAGCTCGGAACGTGTCTTTCGGACGCTCTTCGACGTCGTTTTCATCGTTTGAACAGGTGAAATCATCGCGTTGCAATTTGGCTCTAGAATTTTGACGCGATCTTTAGAGGGACATTGGATTGTTCAGAGTAGTGTGTTTCAGGGCAAGCACCTCCTCTGTTCTAGGCAGACATTCTGAGTAGTCTCACTTTCGTTGAGCCCGTGCTGCCTGCAGCCTTCAACGGCGTCCCGATAAGCGCAACGTCAGGACCCTTGTGCTTCAAAGTGAAAGTCGGAGGTCAGGTCTAAGGTCCTCCTTCGTTCCTGACCCTTCTTCAAGGGCATGCTCCTTCCTTCATTCCTCCCACTCCCCCTATGGATAGAAATCTGCCGATCCAATACGATCAGGTGAAGAGATCTTGTCCCATGTTTGTATCTGACAAGTGGCTCGTCCTGGTTCGGTCCTGCTGCTCCTTGTTGCTCCTGGATACTCTCCGCTTGCCTCCTTCTGCGGTTTCTCTCGATCACCGCTTCCCTCCTCTCTCTTCTCCTCCTCTAGATCACTCCGGTGCCTGTCTGTTACAACGCGCTGGTCACGTTCACTATCAAGGCATCGGACCAAGACAAGTAGACCGATAGAGATGATTGTTGATGTGTTATGACCTGGGTGACAATAGTGGTGATCTTGTCTCCATCAACACTGTCGACGTCGGTTTGTCGCCTGAGTTTCCCTTGGTTTCTTGCTTCACAACCTCACAGGAACCGATGGAACGAGTTTGTTTTCCGCGCCATATTTTGCTACAAAGGTTTGAAGAGGAGAAGTGAGAGAGGGAGAGCAGAGAGGAAGGGCAGCATGGGGAAGGAGAGCAGAGGGAGAGAGAGGAGAGGGGAGGGATAGAGAGGAGAGGAGCAGCGAAGGGAGGGAAGACTTCAAGATGGTTTGCATAATTGCAATGCTCTGTTTGTTCACCATTCTCATAGCAACTGAGGCTCGTTATTTCAACAGACGGGAAACTATCAAGGAGACTCAACAATAGCAGAAGTCATAGTTCAATACACGTTCTCAGGTGACCTCCTGAAAATGCTCAATAGCGATTGTCAAGTGAACGCTATCCTCTATTTTGATTCACCCTCCTCGTCCTTCAGACTCGAGTGGAGTCGTCGTCGACCCTCTTACTCGACGAAAACTGTTTCCAAACTCTCGGGTGATCTGCAGGTGACTTGGAGATGTTTTCAAAACTTTGCACATTCTGAACTCCAAAGTTTCAATTTATCATGGCCCCGCCATTGTTCCTGTCTGAAATCTCCATTGATCTTTCAGTCTTTCACGTTATCTTTCATCCTCGTGAATGCTCTGACTATTTTCCTGCGACGATCAGCAACGCGTCCGATTCCTCTCTCTTCCAGTACCGTCGATGGGTTGGAAACACGACGGGAAATCTCCTCAGCCCACAGAAATGTCACAGCATCCTGGTATGCAAGGGAGGCTGAAGCAAAGGAGGACAGGAAGAGCAGTGAGGCAGAGGGCAGGGAGGGGAGCAAGAGAGAGGAGGAGAGTGTATGGTCTGTTGCTAAGATGGAGCAGTTTGAAGGTCCTCCGTACTTTGTTACAAGTGCCGGGGCCTTCTCTACTCCTTTCAACATGCTGCAGGTAACGGCAAAGCTATCACAGTCACCTTGCAGCTGACTTTTGGGGGTGGCAAGGGCTCGAGAGAGAATCGAACAGGGCAGCTGCAAGCTTGGATCAACAAAGAAATCAACTTCATGTTCTACGTAAGGACCCTCCTCCTCCTCCTCCCCTCCCCGCACCCTCTCCCCTTGTTTCCTCCTCTCCTCCTCCCCTCTCCTCCTCGACTCATGCCCTTACCATTGTCTTCCCTTTTTCCGTCCCCTCTCATTCATCTCTTTCTTGATCGATCCTCCTCATTTTGTGCAGGCTGAAGACACCAACCTAGTTGACTCAGTCAACATCTTCTTTCTCTCTGACCCCGGAATTCCCAATAACGCTGTAGTCGGTCTGAGAGAAAGGTTGAAACGAGCAGGTCAAGTGAGACGATTTCATAGGTCCCAACACATGCCGAGCAAGGGTAGTCGACGGGACATTATCGAATTGCTCGGCTGCCTTTCGGAACATTACGTGGTATGCTCTGGTCAATGTATTCGTTTCAGATTTTCCCCCTTCTTTCATTGTCACATTTTATTTCCTGTCATTCGAAATCTTTACATCTTTCACATCTCTTTTTCCATCCCCATCTTACCATCGTCTTTCCTCTCTACATTTCAATTTTTCCTCCTTGTCCTCCTCATCTCAATCGCCTCCTCCTCAAATTCTTCTCTTATCTCCTCCAAGGATTCCGCTACCCGAGCAAGCCAAGGACGGGGGGAAGTTCTGTGCGACAGTGCGAGACAGCTCCGTCAAGTGCATTCCTCCTCAATCGCCTGATCCTCGTGCAACTGTCTACGGTTGGTATGGCGAGGAACAGTGCGTCGAGGTAGCACTACTTCCCTCCTCCTCCTCCTCCTCCTCCTCCTCCTCCTCCTCCTCCTCCTCCTCCTCCTCCTATCCCTATCCTTATTTCTTGCCGTCTCCCTATCGTTCCCCCTTCCCTTCCCCTCGCTCTCCCTTTTGCTCTCCCTTCCTCTTTTGGCATTCCTCTAGGAAATTCTCCACTCGCCTCGTCTCGTCGCCCCTCGCCTGTGTTTTCTTCTCAAATATACTCAGGTCACTGTTGTGGAGCCGAACCTGACCTGGACAGGAAGCTTTCTCCCGACTGCAGGCAAGCGACTTGAACGTGGTCAAGGAAGAGAAGGGATGCAAGGGCAGCAGGAGGAGGGGGCAGAGGGGGAGAGATGAAGGAGAGAGGACCAAGAAGCATGAGGAGTTGAGAGAGGCTCAAGGAGGAGGAGGATTGAGCTCTGACAGCAGCAGCAGACAGCGAGGGAAAATACTTCTTCCCCAAGAGGACTGCTGATGTGGGTTGCCGCTATGAGATCACCCTGGAGGCGAAGGATGAGGCGTACATGGAGGGGAGAGATGGGTCGAGAATCTTATCACCCTACGTCCTCGAGATCAGATCGAACGGATCCCTTCCCAACGGATCAAACTTGACCTCTCTCCTCATTAGCCGTCAAGCAAGGTTTGTCTTCCTCCTCCCTCCTCGACGTCTATTGATTCCTTTTCCTTCAGCTCTGTCTTCTACTTTAGCTTCCCGCGGGGTTATGAAGGTTCTACCCTTCGAGCATGCTTCGTTGCTGCCGAGGTAACCTCCTCACTACCTCCTCCTCCTCCTCCTCCTCCTCCTCCTCACTTCTCTACTTTCTCCTCATACGTTCATCTCCTCATCTTCTCCAACCTATCATGTTTCCCTTCCCCGTCTCCCGAGCCCCTTCGGCCTCTCCCTGCTCACCCCCAGCAGGTCACAGGCGCGAGCTCCCTGCCTCCTGCCTGTCTCGACATTGAAGTCGCTCGCTGCCGCTTCTGCATGCAGGAGGGTCAGAGCCTTGACTTCGTCTCCCGCCTCCTCTTTGCCGACTCCAACTGGCTTCGCCTCTGGGCAGTCAACGGCAACGACCACGGAGACCCTTCCTCCCTCACCATCCTCGACCCCGAGAGGGTCCAAGTCGATCCCCGAGGGTCAGCCATCATGCTCGGCAACATCTACACCATGGAGCAGGAGGACACACTTTACTCGCTCGCCGCTTCCTTCCGCACAACCGTCAAGCTGCTCCTGGAGCTCAACCCGGACATCCGCGAGGTCAACGCCTCCCTCCTCGGCCAGCCCGTCTGCATAGTCCCCTGCACGGACAGCTACACTAACAGTTAGAGGCCTGCAGACGACTTGCTGTCTTCCGTTGCTCCCTCCCCCTTCCACCTGCTCCCCTTCCATTCCTAACCCGATGTCCTCCTCCTCCTCCTCCTCCTCCTCCTCCTCCTGCTCCTGCTCCTCCTCCTCCTGCATCCCTCTCTCCTCATATACAGTCTCAAATTCAGCTTTCAATGAAACCTCACAGCTCCTGCCTGCCAGCTAGCTCAGGCTCTACCGTCACAGGTTTCCAAGCAGCGACGGGGCTGAGATAATCAAACCAGATGCATCCCAAGCCGTAGAGCGCCTTCACCTTAGAGAGGAAGCCGAGCTTCGAGCCTGCCACGTCCCTCCACTCTTCCAGCGGATACTCGTAGATCACCTCCTCACATGGCGGCTTGTGCCCTCCTCCTTCTCCTCCTCCTCGCAGCGAGATGAACCTGGCGATGAGCTCGACGTCGAAGATCCAGCCTGAAGTGAAGGGAGAGGACAGCGCGTCTCGCAGGTCTTCCGTTGCTCGGAACATCTTCGCTCCGCACTGCGTGTCGTAGATCCGAAGGTTCAGCACGATGGACGCGAGGGTGGCGAACACACGGCCGAGGTAATGGCGCGTGAACTGCCGCTGGATGTTCCTGCCGAGCAGAGCGACTCGGGCGCCGAAGACCATCTCGAGCTTCTCGTTCTCCTCCAACTTGCGCATGAAGCGAGGGATCGTCTCGAGCGGCGTCGCCAGGTCCGCGTCCCAGAAGGCAACCACGTCCTCCCTCGTCAAATTCCTCGACAGCAGCACGTGAAGCATGCCCTTGCGAACGGCTTCCGCCTTGCCACCATTGACCTCCAGGTTGAAGACGGACATTCTCTGCGGTCGCTTTGCCGCGAGCTCTCGGAGAACACGTAAAGTTCCGTCGCTGCTGCCATCGTTGACGAAAGTAAACAGCACGTCCTTGTTCGCTGCCTGGTCGACGAAGTCCAGGAAAACTTGCTGTGGAAGTCGGGTCTCCTCGTTGTAGCAAGGAACGACTATGTGAGCCTTGCCCTCACACAGAGCCAAGGAAGCCAGGAGCACCAGAGTAGCAACGAGGGCTGAAGATCCGCAGGCAAGAACCGAGCAACTTCCATTCGCTACCATCCCCTCTCTAAAGTTCGTGCCGCGAATGTATCACGAGGCAGGTCTTGGTCTTCTCTCCTCTTCCACTCTCCTCTTCCTCTGTTATCCTGTCCTGTCCTGTCCTGTCCTGTCCTGTCCTGTCCTGTCCTGTCCTGTCCTGTCCTGTCCTGTCCTGTCCTGTCCTGCCCTGCCCTGCCCTTGGCGCTGCCCTCTGCTCGCTGTCGTCGACCAAGTGGTTACGGGGGCAGCATCAAAATCGATAGGTTTTAATTTGCTGCCCTGAGCGTTGTTGGTTCGGGGGCGATGCTGATTGTGTAACGGTGATCGCTATGTATTTGTAACCGTCAAACGAAGGGGCACCATGCACTTGATGTATCAACAGACTAGTGAAGGAGGGAGGGAATCATAGGGTAGGCGGGAAGATGGGGAAGGACGACATGACAGGACAGGACATGACATGACATGACATGACATGACATGACATGACAGGACAGGACAGGACAGGACAGGACAGGACAGGACAGGACAGGACAGGACAGGACAGGACAGGACAGGACAGGACAGGACAGGACAGGACAGGACAGGACAGGATGGGATGCCATGACCTTGGGGAAAACCAGTGTGTGGGTATAGGATTGTGAGGATAGGAAAGCGGGAGGGGAGCGAGCGGTAGAAGACTAGGAGAGGGATGAAATGAATGGTTTTTATCAACGGAAAGAAGTGCAGTTTGCATTGTGATCGTGATATCAATCTGTGCGTGTCATGCTAGGGAAGAAGTCAACCCGTAACGTGCCAACGAGCTCAAAGTGACAAGTTGCCATAGCAGGTCTCAGGTTGGGACTAGCATGATGAGGTCGACTGAGTACGGCACTCTTGACGGCGGCAAGCCTCAATCAGCATCGCGCAGGTCGCCCCGAATGATCTCTCCGGTGGTTGGAGTTGTCAGTGCATTGCTCCTCGTTGTTAGCGCCGTGCTTCTCTCTTCCTCCCACAGGGGACAGAGTCAGCTCCTGCAGCGCGGCGGGTACGCTCGAAGTGGTCTCAACTTCGCGTTGGCGCATGGCACCAGGCAGCCCAGGACTTACGACAGCGCTTTCCGTGTTGCCCGTCCCCGTCAGGTCTTGGAGCAGACTGGTGACGCTGGAAATAGCCAAGAGTTTGTCCAGTATCTCAGCGATCAAAGCGATGATATCCTCGACGAGGACGAGGACTCCGACCTGGGACGCGCCAGGCAGGCGGTCAAGGACGCCAAGGAGCGAGTCATCGAAGACGCGAAGCGCTTGCATGATATCGGGGTTGCGATCGAGGAGGAGGAGGCAAAGCAGAATCCTTCTGCTGCCAAGTCACACAAGGTACCTCATTGTAGCATCCAACTCGCTGTTGACTCGCTTGTCCCTAAAGGTGCAGGCTCTGAAGAAGAGCAGCAGGAAGGCAAGTCCCTTGCTCGCTGCGCCATTCCTGCTTGTCCTCCCTCCTCTCCCCCCTCTTCCCTTCCTCCTCCTCCCTGTGACCCTCTTTGTTAGGTGAAGAGGTCCGGGAAGGACAAAGCGGACGAGATCGACATGAAGATCAAGGTCAAATCTCTTCCTCTTTCTCCAACTTATGCTCAACTTCACTCGCAGGTCGAGGTGGATCCACAGGCCCGTCGTTCTCGCAAGTCGCGTGCAGGAGCTGATCAAAGAAGGGGTCAACAAGCGGAGGACGCAAAGAAGCAGAAAGAGGATGTGATGGTGGCTCGTTTCCCTCTTCCTCCGTTTACAAGATGATTCACGAATAAAATCATCACAACGGCTATCTTGGTCATAACATGAAGTTTCTTGATTTCTTGGACACAGTCCCCTCTCCCTGCGTTCAGTAGTTTGAAACTCTGTCCAGCCATCAGGACATCGTAACGACATTGGATGCAAGTTTGATATGGAGCCGTGTCAAATACTTCAACTTCCGCTTGTTCTTTCTATTGAAAATCTAAATCTTTCGAATGAATGCATACAATCCCTCCACCTGACAACAAGTGAGCAAACACTTACGAATCTCTTCCCAAGACAACACAAACGACAAGGTGAAACGACTCGACAGTCACGCATGGATACATGCAATCACGTGTGATGGCAAAACTTTGAAACAACTCACAATGTCATCCAGGTTGGGCTCCTCAAGATGGACCCAGCAATCCCCATCATCGTACCCCGTCTTCCTCCTACAGGCAGGACATGTGCGGTTGTGCCTGCTCCTGTGCGATGCATCAGAGTGATGTTTCTACAGCTATCCTCGCTGACCATAAGGATAAGCATCCCTCACAGAAGGGACCATGCAGACACGGGAGAGAAATTCCGGAAGAAGTCATCTGGTCAAGAACAAGTCATCCAACAGTTTCAAATCATGAGAACGCTGCTTGTAGAGCATACCTGGAGGCAGATCATACATTCATACTCGCTCTTCTGTATTTTACACATCCTTGATTCAGTCAAGGCCAAAGGTTGATCCTGATCTGAGTTGTTTGCATTGTTTTCTTGCCCTGCCGCTTCAAATACCAACAGTCAGTTCCACTCGATCAAAACAAACTCCGCATCGATCACCATCAGGGTTGGCATCGGCAGAGCCTTCCTCACTTTGATCGGGTTGATCGGCATCTTCGTCCGCATCTTCTGATGCTCGACCTGCAGCCAAGGCAGCATTCCTGCACCTACACTCGGAGTTTCCGCTGCATGTACAACTTCGATCTCTTTCTCCTTCATCTCCTTCATCGTCCTGTTTCCAATTACTGCCACGATGGCTGACGAAGGATGACGGCCCTTGATTCTCCTTGTTGAGATTGAAATCTCCTCGAGCTCCATTAATGGTGTCCTCTTTGTTATCCTCTTCCCCTGTTCTTTGTCTCCTGCTTGCTGGAACCTCCTCCTCCTCCTCCTCCTCCTCCTCCTCCTCCATGTCCAGCCCTTGGCAATCTTCAAACTGAGTATCTTCAAACTGAGCATTTTCAACATCATCATGAGTTTGTTCCATATCAAACTCTCCAACGGCATCCTCGAAGTTGGAGTTTGCATTCTGCATCATCCGCAGCCGTTCTTGCCTCGTGCTCGCCCGCGCGGCCTGCTCTGTCTCTTGATCGAGGTGGCGACTCCCAGCAGCATGATCCTGGGCCGACTGCTCCGACCTTCGATGAGCTTCATGAGCTTCATGATCTTTGATCGCTCCTTTCTCCTGCGCTTCATCGTACGAAACAATCCTCCCATCTTCCATCAAAATCCTCTGCGCAGTCGCTCGATCGGGTTCTACCCAGCCCCTGTAACGAGATAGCATGACTATGAGGAACGAGGACGAGGAAGAACGAGGACGAGGAAGAACGAGGACGATGAGGAGGTACCTCAGAGCCATCTGAGCTTGCAGAGCAACGTCAGCTTCAGCTTGCATCCTTCTGAACACCTTGACGAATTGTTTGTAGGTCAAGGGCTTAAAGCTGTCGAATCAATGTCAACATGGGCGCCATTAGACAAGCAATGAGACAAGGGGCACAGCAAGAACAGCAAGAACTTACTTGCCGCCAGGCACAGCGTCAGATCCATCTACCATGACCCTCTTGACACCAACTCTCGCTAGTTCCTTGTAGTTAGCGTCATTTAGTCCGAATTTCGTGTTCAAGGACGCGAAGTAGAGCTGACAATCATCCTTTCGAAAGCATGGCGCGAGCTTGTTCGCTGTTTCAACATCGTCCACCAAACCCCGTATTCCTCGCTTGTCATTAGCCAGAAGAGACTGGTCCTTGGAGTTGAGACCTCCCATGCTCGCTCGATACCTTGCCCACAAAATGTAAGTTGGATTTCTTCACGGCTGACTACGAGCAGAATGGGCTGTCAGGATGTTGCGAGCAAGAGAAAGACAGGGAAATGAATCAAAGAACAAATCGAAACTAAGCGATCAAGTAGGTAACCAGCAGAAATAAACCTCACACCACAACGTAAAGGTAGAGTGAAAACACGCTGCGCAGGAATGAACAAGAGGAAGTGAGGAAGAGAAGAAGAGAAGAAGACGATGAGCTCAATTCAGCATTCACCAGGATGGGAGGAAACAAGTTGAGGAGGAGGGGAACAAAGCATGGCTCGAGTGACAGCGAAGGGTTAGAGGGAAATGGCATCTTTCGCAGCCAGCATGGCGGGGGCTGTTGGGTCAAGGATGAGTAGAGGAACAAAGGGGGTGGGTAGGGGGTTTTGGTCGAGAAATGGGTGGGTACTTTGTATTAAGAAAGAGGGGTGGATATAGGGTCTAATTACCACCAAGGGTGGTTGAAATTTGAGGGTGCTAAGGTCTGCAGAGTGGGTACCGCCAAGGTAAGACGATGGGTAGGGGGTGGTGTGTTTTAAAAGACAGGGGTACTCTTGCCTTTTGAGCCGTGAGGGGTTCAATCAGACAATTGGTAGGGTAGGGTCATAGTTGGAGTCTGGGGTAGGGTATCCTGAAGGGAGATGAAGGGGGTACGTCTCGTACAATGAATCGATGGGGTTTTCAAATTAGAAAAATGGGGTGGGTAGCAAAAAGTCAAGAGCCAGACCTTGGATAGGTGGGGTGGTGAAAATATGAGAGGTAGGGTGGATAAATCCTTCTGGGAGATCACAGGGGTGTACAAGGTAGTTGCACCCAAGGTGCTCTCGACAGGGGTGGGGTAGTACCCCACCTCCCGTGGTCTAATTCTGTAGATTTCATTTTGGACCACATCCCCACTCAAGTTACCACATCCCCTCTCAGATCCCGGCCGATCATCGAGTACGGCCGTGACGGCCGTGAGTCACTGCGCCGCCGGCCGGCCCGGGCCCCGGCCGCCGCAATGCGCCGGCTGCAGCGGACGGCCCGCTAGCCAGCGCTCACTGCGGTGGCTGCCAGCCCTAACAGTCCTGGCAAGAGCCGCCGTTCGATTCGGAACCGTGGAAAGTAAGTTGGTAGGTCATCGGATGGTTTTTCAATTCAAACTTGGCTTTCACGTTTCGCTCTGCCAGGCAAGGGCTCTAGCGGTATAGATAAGATAGGGCGACAGAGACAGAGACTCGAGAACAGACGAGAGGAGAAATAAAGAAATGAAAAGAGAGGGGAAGTGACATACGAAGAGAGAACAACGAGATTGAAACACGAGGTGAGAAGCATGTCATAGAGCTGGAGGAAGCCGCTCATCAACAGGCACAACGCTTCCATCCTGCGCAACTAAAATTCACCGCCGGCGAAGCACATCGGAAGAACAAGGGGGCTTACCTGATCAATCCAATATACGCCAGGTTTGTCTGCATGATAGTTCTTGAAAGGACTTCCGTTGTTGTCCCACTTCCCCCTGTAGTGCACGAGTCAACTAAGACCCAGAAGGCTCCGAAAGCCTCGCAAGAAGGCCTCACATCCCATCGTTGAAGGCGAAGGTGATCCCTGTCAGGCCCCACTTCTCCCTCGTCACTGAGAGCCAGCGCCATGGAGGGCTGGGGAACGACTGATGGTTGCTCTTCTGCATCGGCTCACCGGGCATAGGCATCCAGCACTCCACGCCTTTGATCTGCCGCACACTTGTCACCGAGAGGACACGAGCAAACGGTCGACAGACCGTGTGATGAAGGAACGTCTTCTTCCAGGATGACTTGTAGTAGATCTCAATGGTCCCAGGGTTCTCCCCGATACTTGTCTTGGAGGAGATTCTCCGCTCTAGCCCAGGGGGCGCATTTTTCTTCTTGTCGTTGGCCACCATCATCTTCCACCATATCCATTCAGTGACACGCGCTATCGTTGTCTGCATGAGTTTCACCGCAATCTCCTCGTCCGAGTCCTCAGACGCGTTGGGATCGTCTACACGCTCGACAGGGCCATAGGCAAGGAGCGACTTCCTGCGCGCAACACGCTCACAAACAAGCATGTAGAAGCCTGATCGACCTGCACACGAAGTCTCTCTGCTTGCACCACGGGTTTGCTCGGACCTCTGCACGCAGGATTGTAAGCCTCATCGTGAAGTGATAGACATCCTCGTCGTACGTGCGATTGTTGCTCGCCTCTTGGGATCGACTGTCAACATCTTTGCCAGCAATTCTTGAAGATCTTGTGACAGCTAAAGATTCCTCGTTAGTTCATGGTCTACGGAGAGAGATCTGACGTACATGTGACGGTGGAGGAGGATAGTTCCCTGACTTGATTTGTTTGAACAAGATCACCTGCCAATTAACATCAGCCAATCACATCAAGAACGAACAAGGATTTTCATTACAGGATTGTCATCGTCAAAGGGCAGCATACCGCAAACCAACGAGTACAAAATGACGCCCAAACTCCAGATATCAACCTAAACAGGCCACTTGAGGACAACGAGATATCTTCGATGGCCTGAACTCTTGTACCTGGAAACCAGAATATTCTACACCTGAAACAATCTCTGGTGCAGCATAGTTGGGAGAGCCGCAAGACGTCTTCAACTTCTCAAAAAACATATCATCGCGGGTGTTGATGAGCTGAACTATGTTTGCAAGGGAAAAATCTGTACAAGAAACGATCAACAACTAGATGCGGCCTTTGCAGAGGAGGAATGTCAGGGGCAGTGAGGATGACATTGTACCTGCTATCTTGATATTGCACTCCGCATCTATCAAAATATTCTCTGGTTTTAAGTCCCTATGAACGACCTAACGCGGCAGATCAGGGATGATGAAATGAAACTTCTAGAACAAGCAATCATCGAATGCCACAACCTTGTGGTTGTGGCAAAACTCTACTCCAGAAAGGATCTGGAGGAAGAGAACTCTGGCCTCACTCTCCGTCACATGCCCACGGTAAGCAAGGAAATCAAAGAAATCGCCCCCTGCAGACAAGCAGTCATCCCCGCTCGACAAGGTTGATGAGCCTTTGTAGCACGGGGGCTCACCAGGGCAGTGGGTCATGACCATGAAAAACTTTGTAGGCGTCTCGATGAACTCAAACAATCTCACAACGTGAGGATGCCCATCCTAGCGAACACCCGTTAGCACAAGGTGACTTACGATCAACCAGTACTTGTGAAAGAAGCGTCAAGATTCTGGTCTCTCGCATAACCTTCGACACAAAACATTAAATGAAGAAGGAGAGGGAATGAGAAACCTTTTCTGTCATTCTTTTGTCCTTGATCCTTGATTTGTCCAAAGCCTTTATAGCCACTGTATACCCCTGCAGTGCAGCAATCAGTGAGCGTCTCTCCTATGCAGTTCCAGCATAACCGTTTGTTTGTGCACTCCTCTGTACACTTTTCCAAACGTCCCAGCACCAACTCGCTGCAAAAGTAAAATCAACATGGTGAATGCAAGAACTCCCGTACGCAAAGTAAACAATAGGCAATTAATCACCTGCTCGAATCGATATGCGTGAATATCCCCACCAAATCTTTCAATATAGGCTCGATATGCAGCCTGTCATGTGCGTCCATAACCAGGAACGAGAGAATGCAAATGACGAAGCACTCACCTGCTCATCCTTTGCAATCAAAGAACAAATCTTCGCAAGAATTGCATGTTTCTGCTCCGCTTCAGAATTTCTACAAGAGTCTATAGGCAGAGCAAACCTTCTCGCACTCACAAAGCATTCTCACTGGGCTTTCTTCACCCAATCGTGGGTGTGTTCCCATCAAAAAGGTAAGGCTAAGATGGCAGAGCTGCAAACATCAAATCAGCCGTGTCATTCTCGACACATTGTCCTGCAATCATTCAACCTTCATGATCAGCTCAGATTTGGTTCGAAGCAGCGCGAGGTCCTCACAGTCGTCATCATCTGCACCTTTGGATTGCAACGTCACCACGAATGATGTCAAGCACTCAAATTGATCGATCGATACCTGACAGTGATTCGATGCCACTTCCTTCTCGGTCAAGCTCAAGACTTGTGATTTCTTCCGCAATGCGCAATGCTCTCTGCACCGCACAGATTTTCTCGTCACAGCATGATACAGAATTACGTCCAACACAAGAAGGTGGGGCAGAAGGCATCAGCATGGGACTATATTTTCCAAAAGATCTCAGCAAAAGAACCTCGGAGCTGGTCGAAGCTGATCCCATTCTTGGTCTGTCAGAATCCGACCCTGCGGCTGGATCCTCATAGGACTCATCTAGCCTTCGCGCCAATTCGTCCCAGAAGCTTCGATTCCAGTGAGCATGCAACAAGACAATATCGGTCCGTCCAATCTCACCTGTCCACACTCTCCTTCCGTTCGTGCTGAACGTGACTCATGGCGGAAACCTGTTGAGAGTGTCGAAGATTACATACAATCGGAGGCATCGGAACAGAGGATTCTAGTCGCGATATACAAGACATGCAAACTACTGGCGACTTTCACGAGCCGCCGCTAACTCATTTTTCCGTCGGTAACTAATCATGACCCCTCCCCCTTGCCCCCTCCCCCCGCCAACCACAACCTCTCTTCTCCTATCCTGCATCTAACTAGTTGATTTCGTCTCTTTCCTTTTCATCATGCTGTAAGATGTTTGCGTGCAACTTTCTTTCGAATAGAACATTCTCCCATGCAATCACCAGATTCGCGAGGTATTACAATTCTTCAGAAGAAACTGTCTTCGCCTCCTCCTCCTCAAGGGATTTCTTCTGCGCCACTCCCATCTGCATTACTTCATCGTCTATCATCATTCCCTCCTTTCCCCGTCTCGCTCTCTGGATCCTCTTCCTCCTCTCTGAGCATAGGCTACGACTGGCCCCGACATGCGTGCATGAAGGCGCAGCACAATGCGCAAGTGGCCAGAGAGAAAGATGGGTGGGGGTATCCATGGGTACTTTTTTACTGCGATAATTAGGGTACATCAAGGTAGAAATGAGGGGTCAATGATAGCCAATGTGCTAATTCATGGGTCCAGTGAGGAGGGGTGGAATGATTTCAATGAGGATATTTGGGGTGGGGGATAGTAGGGGTGGTCAGATGGATTCTGGAAGACGGAGTAGGAAGGGTGGTAGTGATCCAATGCGGACGGGTAGGGGTACCGAGGAAGGGGTCACAGAGTAACGTGATTTGACTACTACCCTACCATATGAACTGATTTGGAGGGGTACTGAGACACACTTTGGTGCATGCTGAGCTACTTTCTTGCGGCTATAGGTGGAAATGGGGGGTTGCAAGATAGTCGGACTGTTTCGGCGGTAGGGTACTTTTCTGGTCACCTACCGGTCTAATTAATAACAAAGCTAGGGGTAGGGTCATTTACTTCCTATTAACATATTTATCTATTATGGGAGACAGTGACAGGGTACTATTGGCAGGTTCCAGGACGGGTGTGACAAAATGAAATCAGGCAATTGTAAGTTGATAGCATGTTTTCGGGGTAGCTGGTAGTCCTGGCCGCAAGTTGCGCACCCGGACTCCCGGAGGCTAGACCGTCCCGGCGTTAATCGAATCAACCTCCACCTCACTGCTCCTCCCTGCGTCTTCCTGAATCGCAATCTCCTCCTCCAAGCTCCAAGCCGCTGAGCTGCTTCTTGCCGGAGGCCCCTACTGAGCTTCTCCTCCAGGCCCAAGCTCCTTCTAGCCTGAGCACCAAGCTTCCCCTTCGGAAGTTCAAGCATGATCTTGTCAACATGGCATCCATCCCGGGCCATCATTGTGTTTCAACTTCCCATCGATTTGTCACCCCATCTTGACTTTCATCATCCAACTTCCGAAGTTCCCCCCTTGCAGTTCATTGTGAAAAACCTCCTGATTGACAAATACACCTCGCTGGTGATAACGGGGGTCAATACAGATATCCCTCGTCGTGTGCAGATACCTCGCCAAGTGAACCAGTGCGTCCCAGTCACGCACCCTAGGCGCCATTGCGAATCCGGCGACTGAAGAGACTAACAGCAAAGGAAATGATACTGTCTTACTGAGGACTTATCCAATAATTCTCCCTCCAGATGGTAACTTCGCATAGTGCACTCCAGGCAAGATAGTGAAAACTGCCACCGAACTTCGGAACGAAGAGGATTCCAAATTTCTCAACCAGCTGTTCAATGATCAAAATGCTTTTGACTCAAAGTACTGACTCATTCAACTTGAAGTCACTGACGAGTCCGACGAGTCAGGCAGGCCGGTAAGTTAGGAGGCCTGAGGACTTGGGGCCGGGCCGGCAAACGCCGCGGACCCCCCGCGGCCGCGCGCGCCGCCGGGCCATTGCCCGGCAGTCAGTCACGGTGGCCCATGATCATCCCGGGGGGCCGGGCGGCGGCGGGCGATCTGAAGACCCGGATGATCGGCCGCGCCGGGTCCGATCTGTCCGACTTCAGCCATGTCACGAGTCGGGCTCGGACGCCGCGCAGCGACTGCTCGCTACTAGAATGCAGGTCACTGTCACGCGTCCGAGTGAGAGCCTCGGAGTCACGTGGTCAGCCTCGGGCGAGGTTACCGTACCGGGTAGTAAATTAGCAATAAGGCTGACCAACTTTCAAGCAGAGCCTCAATCGGAGTCACGCGGCCCTCATGACCAGAGCTTGCTTTGGGCTAAAAGTCAGTTGTAATTGTGTCCCCCGGGGCTCAGCCTGCTTGCGACACCCTACCCCCCACCAATAGGATCACTTTTATGGTCGTTGACCGGGGTGATCTCCCAGGCTCATCTATCTGGCACTAGCCCAGTAGGGGTCAGATCAGGGCCACTGCGGGGCCGTTTCACGATTGACCTCTTCGGTACCAACTTTTAGTCAAGAATCTCAGTATAATAGTAGTAAAATTTGAGATGTAGTAAAGTGGGCTGGGTACCAAAGATTTTCTAGCAAGCAAAGGGAATTTAGGCGACAGGGTAGGGTGGGGTAGTGTCATCTCGTGGTGAGTCACAACAGCTCGGTGGTGTAAAACCTGTTTCTGAGGTCATCGCGTAGATATCAATCTTGCGCACTGCACAATGCCGGAAGCAACCATCGCCGTCGAAGTTGAGCCCCATGTGGTTTACACGTCGTCTACTCCAGTCGAAGAATTTACCAACATGGAGGATGAAGACTTGGAGTCCAACCCCAAGAAGCTTCCCGGCCAGTATAAGGTTGCAATACAGGAGCTTTCCGCTTTTAGCAGCAGCGAGAGTCAAACATGGGAAGGGAGGGCGAGATGGGTCAAGGGAATTCTCGGAGCTGCGTGCATAAGCCTCGTGGCCGGGGTAGTGTTGGATCTTGGGAAGGTGGTTCTGCCGTTGGGGGTCAGGTCGCAGTTCATTTTCAAGCTCTTTGTCATGATGAAGATTGTGCTGGGAGCTTCGGCTGGGTCCGCCTACTGCCTCGCAGGGATGTCTCTGGTCTTACCGCTGCAGTTCAATCGAGTTCGGGAAGAGTTCATGGGAGCACAGCAGTGTCTGGGGATCGTACCTATCCTTGTCGGAGCGTTTATACTTGGATGCGGGATGGCGCTGGCAGGGGGCTGCACAGGGAAGGTCCTTGTGCAAGTGGGTTCAGGCATTCCTTACTCGTGGGTAACTCTCCTTGGCTGCTTCTCAGGTGCAGCTTTCTATGGGATAGTGCAATCGAAGATTGAGCCTTACCTGATTGTTGGGAAGATGAAGTCGCCCAAATTGGAGGACTACGGGCCTCTGAAGAAAGTACCCTTCTTTGTGCTTGCGACTGGTCTTGCAGTCTGCATGACGATCGTCATTGTTATCCTCGAGGTTCTCTATCCTTGGTATGAGACTATTCCAGGAGGGACGACGCTGTGGAGAACTGTGGTTCCACCTCAGTTTACGGGCGCGATTCTCGGGATCCTGCAGATCCCGGCAGTTCTACTGTTGAACGAGACACTTGGAGGCAGCTCTGCGTACATGACGTACACCTCTCAGTTTCTTCGCGTCTGCAAGGACTGCCCAGTTGTGCTGGGTCACCTCAACAGTTTCAGGACGGGGGTCGCCAACTCTTGTTCGGCCGTAGCGCTTGTGTTCACCATCGCAGGAGCTGCGATCTCATCCATCGCGGGAGGGACATACGGGAAGTATGAGGGGGTGTACCCGATAGAAGCGTTTGCAGGAGGCTTTTGTGTTATCTTCGGGAGCAGGCTTACTTCGGGATGCTTCACCGGGCATGTGTTTTCTGGTGTCGCGCTGCTGTCACTGAAGTCCATGATTGCGGCCCTCACGATTTTCGCTGGAGCGATCACAGTAGGATTTGTGTACTTCACCGTGGATCCTTTCAACTACACGGGAAGGTTGGGCGGGGCAGTGTAAGGGAAGGTAAGGGCTGTCCGATCGTGTCCATCAGCAAGCTGGTCGGACAACTTGCCAAACTTTGTGTTTTTTAAGTTCAAGAGTGGAGATTGTTTAATTATCTATAATGCGTTGTTTCTGTAAGTTGATTAAAGGTTCTAAGAGTTGGCTCAAGCATGGGATACTTTAGTAGACTTTGAGAGCAACAAGATGGTTTGCCTGGGCTTCAATCCTATGGGTTGCGGCGGCGGCCACGATCTCATAGTCATCACAACACTGCCACCATACCTTACTAGAGTGAAAGCTGAGGCAGATTTGCTACTCATAAAATCATCATAAAAGTGTTCGGATAAGTAAAAATGTTATAGATATAAGGATTTTGAGACAATGCGCATGTTGATGGCGCTGGCGGCGCTGGCGGCGCTGGCGGCGATGCCATGCGCGGCCTTTACCTTGAGCTCGTCTCCTCTCCTCCAGCACAGAGGCTACAGGGCTCCCTCCCTTGCATGCAGCATCGCTAGGAGGACAAACCGCGTTTGTCGGCTGGGAGTGATGAAAGAGGACTCGGTGGTCGACAAAGTTTTTGATACGCTCTTCGGAACGAAGAAGGAGGCTGCGGGGAAGAGAGCTCTCGAGGAAGAGCATGAAGAGATGTTCATGGTGGTAGTCAACGACGATAAGGAGCACTATGTCGATGAAGTCGTCAAGATCATACGAAAGGTAGGACTGCAGATTTCTGTGAGCTCCATGACGCGTCATGTTTTCAGACAGTGGGAAGGACATGGAAGGATTCTCTTGACCTCACCATGCAAATCGGAAGGAAAGGATCGGCGATCGTGTACATGGGATCCAAGGAAGACTGCGAGAGGATGTCAGAGGCGCTCTTGCAGTCGACTCTCAAGGCTGTAGTGATGCGAGACGACGAGGAGGGCAGGAAGTTGGTCGACGCCACGTCATCATCGACAGAGGCGAGGACGAGCGTGTACGTTCATTGGGTCCGTCTTGCTGCCTACTCACGCCTTCTTGACAGGTGGGGAGAGAAGTCGTTTCGGAATGGGGCACGGCCCAGAGTAACGTTGATCGGTGAGTGGGGTGAACGTCATTTCGATGGCGTCCTTCTTGTTGCTCTTGTTTTCTGTTCTTTTCCATGCCTGACCTTGAATCTCTTTCTTATCATTATCAGCATGTTGCAATATCTGTTTGATGTTCAACTTGTTGTTTGTGTCATGCATCATCATAGCACAAACTCACGAATCTCCCCTCTCAAGGTGGCACTGGCCGAGTTGGTGCATGGACGCTGAGAGAGCTTTTTAAGTTCTCCCAGGGAGAGATCGACATTGTTATTGCAGGGAGAAATGAGAAAATGGCAGACAAGTTGAAGAGGTGTGATGTCTGTTGTCTCAGTTTGCTCGCATGCCAGCTCGACCCTCCTTTCTCTTCTCATCGTACCCTTACTTGTTCTCCCTCCTCCAACAGGCAGCTTGAGGGAGAATCGTTCGCGTTCGGGGGAAGGGAATGGTCGACAATGAGGACGAAGCTGATGGTAAGAAGAGAAGGGCATGTTCGATGTGAGTTGCAACGTGTCTGACGTGTCTTGCAGGGGAGCGTGAGTTTTGAGCCCATCTCGTTGTCCGACAGAGAGAGTTTGGTTGACAGTCATCATAACCTGAGATGCTGGCGTGTGACAAGTTGTTATCAAGGCGCGCGCGATGAAGGGTTCCGATCTAGTGATTCATACTGCCGGTGAGACATCTTGTTGGTGCTGTGCTGTGCTGCCTTTCGTCTCTCCCCGCTGCTCCTTTCCGTTTCTTCTCTCCTCCTTTTTCTAGCCTCTCACCACCTCCTTCGGCGTGATTGTTGTGCTGGTCACTTGTCTCTATTTTGTATTTGTTTGACTTGACCTCAGGTCCGTTTCAGAACGCTGATACCAAGTCAGTTCTCCTCCTCCTCTTCCTTCCTCCCCCGTCCTCCCTCTCCCTTTCTCCCCACGCTGTTTGTGAAGAAGATCAATAATCCTCTTGGTTCAGAGTCTTGCAAGTTGCCATTGAGCTTGGAATCACATACATGGACGTCTGTGACGACCAAGACTTTGCGGCGAAATGTCGGGAACTCTCTCAGCAGGTGCGATGATGGGAAGACGGAGGAAGGAGATGATGTTGCAAGTGTCCAGGCTGTGGAGAAGAATGTAACATGCATGACAACTTGTGGGATCTACCCTGGTTTGCTTGTTTGCATTGTGAGGTTTGAGTTTGACATGGTTGTCAAGGTTTGTCCAACGTCATGGCGTCATCTCTTGTAAGTTTCTTGGTGGACGGATATTGCTCACTGCCCTGAAATGTGTTTGTTCGACACCAACTTGATGTTTGGAGTGTGTTTTCGTGCGATCGTCATTGTCATTGTCATCGTCCTTGTCAATGTCATGTTGCTTCTCTTGTCTTTCATTCTCCTGACGATTCTCTTGTTCTCTCTTTGCTTCTTCTAACGTCTTTCGGGTGCTATTTCAGACAAGACAAGCTCGTAAAGATTCTTTCGAGCCTCAAAGTCTTCGTTTCTCTTACTTCACTGCTGTAATATCTCTCTTCCTCCCCTTCTTCCCTTCTCCCTGCCTCTCCCTCTTTCTCTCTCTCCTTTTTGTCTTCTCCTCTGCCTCCCCTGTCCACATCCACCCCCCCCCTCAGACTGTTTCCTTCCTCTCGTCGCTCTTGCGTCTTCGATGACCACTCGCTCTAGGGCACTGGAGGCGTTGGAGGAACCATCCTTGCGTCTACCTTCATGCTCCTTGCCGAGCCATGCCAAGTGTACCGGGTGAAGGAGGAGGAGGAGGAGGAGGAGGAGGAGGGAGGAGGAGGGAGGAGGAGGAGGGAGGAGGGAGGGAGGGAGGGA